ACATAAGCCTCTTCTCCACCTTACAGAATTTCTGCCAAAGAACATCTCTTTCATTGTTCACTGTTACACAAACTCCCCTGGTAAAACTGCAAATACTTTCAGTGGGAAAATAAGGTAGCCTCCCAAGAAACCTGAGAGCCTGAAAATGTTTGTGGGGATCTTCTGTCCCAATATGCACGAAAGGGTGAAACCAAAAATACCTCTGAAGTCTTCTTAAAACCAAATAATAGTTTAGCTTAATTAGTAAAGAATGTCTGCCTTGAGCATTGTGCTCTTTCTTTTTATCTATTATGGATCAATTTGACAATGGCAACTAGAAAGGTTAGATAGGAAACTCAGGGGCAGTGAGTTTATGTTTATGAGAGACAAACAACTTAGAAAAGGAGGGTGAGAATGGTTGTACAACTTAATGTAATCAATGTCACTGAACTGTACATGTAGAAATTGTTGAATTGGTGTATGTTCTACTGGGTATATTCTCAACAAAAAAATGAGGGGGAAAAAACCCCACAAATGGCTGGGTCCTACCCAAGTAGTTTCCGGTTCAATAGATCAGAGGCAGAACGCAAGAATTTGCATTTCCAACACATTTCCAGGTGATGCTGATGCTGCTGGTAAGGGATCCACACTTTGGAACCACTGTTTTCACCCTCATTAAAACACATTTCAAAAAATACATCATTCTTTGCCATCTTTAGAGAAAATCAACTGACCACAAACCAGTCAAATTAAATAATGGTTGAGGAAACCAAATACTGCCTAAAAGCAAATCATCCACTGAAGCAGATCATGGCAATTACATGATAAAATTGAACTGACAAATTGCAAGGTGGTGAGCCAAGCTGTAATACTATTCCATGGTACATTTCAAAATCTACAAAACAACATATGATCATGCAATATGAAGAATGCACACCACACCACTACATCCAGAAACATGTTTTATAGCAGAAGACTCAAGAACAACTTAACAAAAACATTAAACTATTTTCTCTCGAAATTAAGTTAGCTATAATTCTTTTCCTTAAGATTAATGTTTAAAACTTCCCAAGCCTACATAAAAAAATTTTACCAATTCTTTCTTTCCACTCATTCCCATTAATCAACAAACAAATCCACCTAACAGCAGACAATAAAACAAACTGTATTTGAGAATACAGTTCCCTAAAATATTCTCACTCAAATGGACAATTTTAAATTCCCTAAATTCACTAAAATTCAACAGAAGACCTGGAAAAAAAAAAAAGACACTGTATAGGGCTAAAGAGAAATATTCCAAGGATCCGCCTGTCACCTAACTCTGAAAACAATGCTGAAGGGCAAACTGTATTTCATTAAATAATTGTAAATCATCATTAAACAGGAATACCACATCCTAGGCCAAAACGTAAGAACATTCATATACATATACTACACCTCATCACCAATGACCTAAAACAAACCCCCAAAAAACCAAACCCACTGCCGTCAAGTCGATTCCAACTCATTGTGACCAGTGCCTGCTCAAAAGCATAACCTAGCAAAAAGTCTAAATCAGTTCAATAAAGTATGTATTGGGGACTAAAGAAGAAAGTTTAAAATGCCTTGTATTTAAAAAAAAAAAAAGTCTCATAATTTGTGGTACCTACACATAAAAAAAAGGAAATTTTTCAGAAAAGAAACTGAAGAAAAATTAAAACAGGGAAGTAATGATATTGTCTAAAAATTAGTTATATTGGATTTTATCAGGTTAACACTGAAATTATTTTTATTCCCTTAAGCACATATTAACTATTAGTCACAAATAGTCCTAGAAAATAAACAGTCCACACGTTGCTTAATTTATACTTACCTGTATTATATATTACTATTTGATTTTTTTAAAAAACATTTTATTGTATGGAGAAACACAAACTGCCAAATCCTGCCTGACATCTGATCTAAAAGGTCCACTACTCCTCTGAGGGAGGCATATTAAGTTAAGAGCATGGCTGACCTCACCAAAATCCATCTTAAAGGTTAGGCATAAGCCAGTTTCGCCAAGATGCTATTTATGGCTTTGACATTCACACATCTGTGCAGAGCCTTTTTTAATCATTTACTATAGAGAATTACTTCTTTAAATGTATCATTCAGTATGGAAAAAGTCTTTTATTTAGCCCCAAAACCAGCTCACTCACATTTCAAAGGATAACCCTCCAATAATCCTAATACTTGAGAATTGGTGAATAAGTCTTAAGAAGTGTACCTTATCCAAACTCATAATTTTCTTTTTGAATTATATTTACTCTCAGGCTTCACTTTCCCATGGATACAACCCAACTTTTTTTATTTATCCCTTTGAATATAATAACTCATTTTTATTATTTTATAATAAATCATTTATCCAGCATCTTATGGAAAAAATTATTCCACAAAAGCTAAACTGATTATACTTAAAGCACCAAAACTTAGTCATTTTTTATTATGTCTCTAAACGTATCAAACTTTCTTACCTTTACCAAGACTACTGAAGATAAAAGAATTTCTTCTCGTTAATCATAATAATCAATTCCCAAATCCATAATGGTATGGAATAATAATACAATCTTTAACCTATATTTTAGTTTTCTGGTCTCCTCCCTGGATGTCTGACTAGTTGGTGTCATTTCCACTGGCTAGACATGCTACCTACATAACTGCGGAAGTTTGCTGTTTCTCAATTGCTTTGGGCTTCAGAAAATGGAGTTAAAAATCAGTCACGCCCCCAAACACCCTTTTAGCTCAATGGTGAAGTTACCTCCGAGGTTCACCGTTCAGCCTGGGAGTGGACAGCCCCGTAAAACCAAATGAGACTAACGAGGTACAGTAGTCCACTGACAAGGGCCGGAGGGCAGAAGGGGACAGGGAAGCTGGTGATAGGGAACCCAAGCTTGAGTAAGGATATTGTTGATGTGTTGTGAGATTGTTAACCATTGTCAT